GAAAAAAATAAATATATATTTTATTTGTTATTTTAATTATCATTGTTGTTGTTGTYGTCGACGCCGACGACAACGTCTAACCATAAAATAAAATAAATGAAATGTCATATAATTTCGTTGTTATTATTATTAATGATATTTTCATTTAATATCCCATTGTTTCTCTCTTTCTCTATGTGTGTGTAACTGATATTATATTAAACATTACTATCACTGATATTCACACACAAAAAAAACTTTAATATTAAGAGAGAGAGAGAGATTCAAAAAAMAATTCAATTAACTATAATCTTAGCTATGATTACACATAAATATATATATATTTTTAAAGATAATATATATTAAAGAGAGAGAGAGAGAGAGAGGAAAAAAATTAAATGATATGAATTTACTAAAGATTTTTTTTAAAAATTAAAGTGAAAACTAAACATTAATTTTTGGAAAATTAAAGAAAAATCATTTTTAAAAAGTTTTTAATCTATTTTTGTGTTTTTTTTGATAAAATAATATTCAATCTAAAACTTTCCTATTATAGACACACACATACACACACACACACACACACATATATATATATATATATATATACATATATATACATACATACACATACACATATACACACACACTCACTCACACACACACTCACAGACACTCACACATATACACACACACACACATACATAGATATCATATAGACATATCATATAGATATATATATATATACTCACACATATACATACATACATACACACACACACATACTATTAGTTTCCGGTAATAATAATAATAACAATTATTATTATTACTTATATACAGTAGTTTATAATGAAATATATAAATCTATTATTTATTTTTTTTGTTAAAAATTTTTCGGTAATGTGTTTTTATTTTTTTTTAAAAAAAAACTTTAATGAATCGCTTGACTAAAACAAAGTTATGTATTTTTTTTAATGATTGTTATACTGTATTATAATAACTACCGATACTTATGTGTCTTTAAAACAAAATATAATAAGTTATGCCTCTCTCTCTCTCTCTCTCTCTCTCTCTCTCTCTCTCTCTCTCTCTCTCTCTCTCATTACTAACTCATTTAAAAAAATAATAACATCACTAMARAAAATRTATTTAAATTATMAAAAACATTAATTGCTTGACTTGTGTTAAGCACATACACACACACACACACACACACACACACACAAAGTGTATAATAAAATATGTTAAATATCAACGCAATTGCCATATTAGTTAAAACAATACCACCCGAAACAAACCATCAAAAAAAATTATATTATATACATACATATGTGTGTATGTGTGTGTATGTGTGTGTATGTGTATGTATGTGTGTGTATGTGTGTGTATGTGTGTGTATGTGTGTGTATATGTGTATATGTGTGTGTATGTGTGTGTATGTGTGTGTATATGTATGTGTATATGTTTGTGTATGTGTGTGTATATGTGTGTGTGTGTGTATGTGTGTGTGTATATGTGTGTATATATGTGTGAGTATGTATGTGTGTGCATATATGTGTGTGTATATATGTGTGTATATGTGTGTGGATATACCTAATAGTTTTGTGGGAAAATTTCACGACACAACTATACACACATTTTAAAAATAAAACTTGCAAACTAACTATCGTTAAAAAAATTTACCATGTCTAATTATCATAGGCTATACATGTTTTTAGAGGATAATAATGATAATGATGATGATGATAATGCTAGTTTTATTTCTAATTATATAATTGTCAATAAATTATTTACATATTATTATTATTTATATTACAATTTATACAATTATATACAAATTTATTATATAAATTTTGAAATATTCATAGTATAACATTATTGTATAAATTTATTTAAATTATAATATTTATTTTATAGTAATATTTTTAAAAAATAATTACTTCAATATTTATATAAATAACAAAATAAATAATTAAATTTATAATTTGAAAATATTACTCAACTAATATTTATATATAAAATTAAATTTATATATAATATTAATTTGACTTTAACTGATGGGTGACATTGATTTTGAAAACCTATTGAATTAATTGTTTAAATTTTAACTAAAAAAAAACAATTACACAAAGTTTTAACAAAAAAAAAGTCTATTATATTTATTTTTTATAAAAAAATAACTAAATAAATAAAAATATTATATAAGAAAAATAAATTAAATAAAAATATTTATAATATGATTTTCCTGTTGTTTTTTGTGTATTACAATACAAAACAACAAATTATATCAAAATAATAATAATAATTATATTTTTTAAAATTATTGTATTACTATATGACTCACATATATTTCACAAAAATTATTACTTAATATTTTTAATGATTTCTAATAAAAATTATAGTAATTTTTTTAAATTTATTATTAAGGAAAATATATTAAGTTTAATAATATTAATAATTTAATATTATTTTATTAATAATTATTTGCTAAATAAAAAAAAATATTGTTATTAATAGTTAATTTTAAGTTTATTTTCCCAATAGTTTCAAATAAAAATTATTTTAATATTTATATTTAGCTATAATATAACAATTACAGTATTTTAAAAGCTAAATATAATTATAATTTAGTTAAAAGTAAGTTTAGTTATTAAAAAAATAAATAAATATTACATTTATTATGTATTATTTATTTTAATAATAATTATTAGTAAAATTATTATAAGTATAGTAAGTAATTGTAATATTATAGTTATAATATATATATATATAATTAATGTTTAATTAGTATAATAATTAAAGTGTATATTTATATATTTATTAACTAATTATATATATATATATATAAATTATATCTAATTACACTATATATTAGTTTTAATAGTTATATTTAAAAATATATTACTGTATATATATATATATAATATTTTAAAGTTTTATAATTAATCCATTGTTTTTTATCTGTCTATTATTAATTAATTTTTATTTTTTTTATTTGTTATTTATAGAAACATCAACAACTATTAATAATTAAAAAAAAATTAACAACAATTAAACATAAAACTAAACATCTATTTAAATAATAATAATTGTTTCAACAAAAAAAATTAGATAAAATTGTTTTCATTTAAAGTGTAATAATAATAATAACAACAACAACAAGATTATGGATTAATTAAACCGCAAAAACATAGTTATATGGACTATAATTATATCGTTTAATAATAAACTAAAAGCCATCATAAAAATAAAATATGGATTATTATTATTATTATAATTATAACATTAAAAACATTGTGTTTTTTTAAAATAATGAAAAAAGTGATGATATAATTATCTGATTTATTAACTAATAATAATATAATTAATATATTTATATATATTATAACTGATGACACGTTTAATACATTAGAAAACGCTATTGTTTTGTATAATAATATTTTTTTTGGTATTTTTTGATAGTAATAATAATATTAATAATAAAACTTATATAATACAAATGATTTTGTTATCTATAGATAACAATAATAATCTAATAATTTATTTGTGATAATTAATAATAATAATAATAATTAGTTTGGATATTATGTCATCAAAAACAACACGACTGATACGTTTGTACCGAAACGGTAACACACCGTTAGGTTTCTCAATACGCGGAGGTATTGTACTTATAATATCATATTAGAATCTAATTTATATATATATATAATATGTATATATATAGTATGTATATATATATAATATGTATATATATATAGTATGTATATATATATAATATGTATATATATATAGTATGTATATATATAGTATGTATATATATAGTATGTATATATATAGTATGTATATATATAGTATGTATATATAGTATGTATATACTGTATATATAGTATGTATATACTGTATATATAGTATGTATATACTGTATATATAGTATATATATATATATATATAGCATGTATATATATATATAGTATATATCAAACTACTAACTACTACTAAACGTAACAAAAATTATTATTAATGATTATTTTTAATTAATTAATTAGCTAGCTTATATAAAACAAAAAATATACAAGGCTAGTTTTATCTAATTTAAATTATTACCAATAAATTTAGCTAGTATATTTTTTAAATTTACAATATAATTTACAGTTTTATTTTATTTAGAAAGTAAATTTTTTGTAATTTGTTTTTTTTAATTTAAAATAAATTTTTTAATACATGTTAAATATTTTTTAATTAGTTAAAATGATAAATTAGTTTTTATTTTTAATAAGCAAAAAAATATATAGATTTATAAAAATAAGATACTAATAATTTAACCTGATATAAATTTTATATAAATATAATAAATAACTAAATAATTTTACAGTTTTTCAGATTTATTAATTTCAATATTATATATATATATTTGTATTATAAAATTTAAATTAAATTTATGTGTTTTATATAATATCTATTTTTTTAAAATATAAATTTTAATTAAGTTATAAATATTATAATAATTTTATCTAGGGTATTTACTATTTAAATGTAAATTTTGAAAAGTTTATATATATATATATGTATATATGTATTATTAAATATTTTTGAGATATTTTTTATTTTAGTTTTAATAAACAATTCAAACAGACAAAATATATAACAGTTTAGTAAATCAAAAAAAAAAAATATATATATATATAAATTTTGTTATATTTAAAACTACTGTATATATATTAATTTTTAAACAACAAAACAAATAAATCAATTATTAATTACAAACACATTTTTTGTTTAATTGATAATAAATACAATTTACTAATAGATTTTTGTGTTAATAGTAATTTATTGTTAAATAAAAATATAGATATATAAATTTTATTATTATATTCAAAACTACTGGAATAAATATTTTAACTTTTCAAAAAAATAAATTATTAATTACAAATACAATTTTTTTTTATTTCATAATAAATACAATTTACTAATTTATTTAATTTTTAACCAATAATAATAATAATTATTATTATTGATAGGTTGGGAACACGGCACCGGTATCTATGTATCGGAAGTACATCCCGGTTCGGAAGCCGCCAAACAGGGCCTACAGGTTAGTAGTATTAAAAAATATAATAATAATTTTAAATATTTTAAATATCACACACACACACACCTAAAAATTAAATTTATTAATTTTTTTTATGTATTATTCAATATAATACATAAAAAAAATTTAAATAAATTTAAATATCAAAACATAATTTTTTGATCTAATTTTTTTATATTATATTTTAAATGTGATATTTTTAGTTTATGATTATATATATATAATATATATATATATTTATGATTAAACTATATATTTAATAGAAAAATTGAATGTTTGAGGGGATAAAAATATATATATATATATTAATATTAATGACTTATTAAATTATATTGTGATTATTATTATATTTCTATCATATAATTTCATACAATATATATATAGTAATAATATATGTTTTAAAAATAGAAAAAATTAAATTAGATCTCTAAATAAGTTTATATATATATATATATAAATGTTTTAATATTCTATACAATATTTTTTTGAATAATTTTTTTTTAATTTGAATAATTGTTTTTTTCTATTTTAATAAATCAAAAATTGATTTTTATCTCTCATTTACTCTGAATTCAATCTCTAATTTTTTTGTTATTATTATTAATTATAATTAATATTTTAAACAATATTTTTKTTTAATTTTATTTTGTTACCAAAACATCAATTGTTTTGATATATTTATGTCATTGAAAATTTGCATTTTATTTATATATTTTTAAAACAATAGTTTTGTTGTTGTTTATTATTATTGTTAGTTAAAACAAAAACAAAACAAACAAACAAAAATTTAATTGAATTATTTTATAAAAATATTTTTGTTTTATTTTAATATTCAATGATTTCTATAAAAAATATATTAGTATAACATTAAATTAAAATTATTTAAATTAAAATTTAAAAAAAATTATCATTGGTTGCCTCTAATAATAATTAGTATTAAAAATATTTTTAAATATTACATTAAAACGTGTAATAAATATTACAGTTATGATAATTATTTTAACACATATATTAATTGGTTATATATGATATATAATATACTTATTAAAAACAATATAATCATTAAGATTTTAAAAATTATTAATACATACTAATCACGATTTTTATAATAATTAAAATTTCATATTATAATTAAATTTTAATTTTCAAAAAAAAATTAATATTTAGATTAATTTTGTTTATAAAATTTGAAATAAATATTTGTTTTGACTATTAATATATATATATATWTATATATAAATAGCAACCAATTTGAGGTTAAACTAAAAGTTTTTTTTATATTTATATTTTAGTTTTATTGCTATTTTGAAAATAAAGTGTAACTAATTTTTTTTTGAAAAAAAACTGTTTAATGTATTTAGTTTAAACTCAATTTATTTATTTATTTATTTTTATTAGTTTACTTAATTATTTGCTTATTTAGTTTATATGTTTTAGTACACTTAAAACCCAAAGAAAATAACATAAAAATTAAATCAAATTTACACAAAAAATATTTATTTAAAAATAATAGTTTCATTGATAATAACGTAAATATTTTTTTATTTGCATTTTGAAATAATTTTAAATATTATATATATATATATTTGAAAACATTAAAAATATATGTTATTTATGAGTTATACTAAACTATAAATTAAAATTATATTTTTATATTAATTAAATTATTTTGATAAAATAAGTTACAGTTTTTTTGAATACATAATTACTACTAAATGCTAATAATACTAATATTAATATAAATATAAAATGTATAAATTTTATATAGAAAATTATATTTAATACAAAAAAAATAAAACAATTTATATAAATATTATTTATTTATTTGGCTAAATATAGGCAAATAAACCATCAATTTTTAAAAAATTGTTTTTTAAAATTTTTTTGTAGTATTTAGTACATATGTTAGACATATACTGTATCTTAAATAACACTATAAAATAATAGACAATTATTTTATACACTATATATATATATATACATATATATAGCAATTAATGTTATATTATGTGTCTATAACTGTATAATAATATCCGAAAAAAAATATTTCCCMAAAAAATAAAACAAAAACATTTTTTAATAGACCAATCAATTGTGCCCTTCAATTGAATTGCATGATTAATCAATCAGTTATTTTGATTTATTTATTTTTAAATGTTTTTGTATTTTATATATATATATATTTATATATACAGTTGAATCTATTTTTTTTTTTWWAAAAAAAACATTTTGTGTTTTAATTTTTTTAAAACCGATAAAATAATAACAACAATATAATTACTATTATTTTTATGTGTGTGTGTGTTATATTGTAGTGTATTATTGTTTATTAAGTGTATTACTAGTACTGTATATATATAATAGACTAAAATTAATTTTTTTTTATTTTTTAAAAATATTCTCAAACATAAATATATTATTCAAACATTATTATTATTATTATCGATATATATTTTAATAAAAAAATATGTTAATATTATTAATACTACAAAATATATATGTATTGTTTATATCAACGAAAAAATAATTTATGAGAATTTATTACATATTTAAGACTAAAATATTTTTATATATATTTTTGTCTAAAAATATAATTATAGATAAAATATTATTTATTATTATTATTATTATTATTATTATTATTATTATTATTATTATTATTATTATTATTATTATTATTATTATTATTATTATTATTATTATTATTATTATTTTGCTAACTTATAAACAATTGTATCAACAAATAAAAACAAAATGTGTTAACAATTGTGTTAATAATATACCGTTATATTTATATACAGTATATATATATATCAAACAATATATATATTTAAAATATTTATTATTATTTTTCTAAGAAAAATATAATTTTACTCATATTTTATGCTTTTTATGTAAAAGTAAAAATAAAATGTRTTTTTAAAAAATAATATTTTTGCTGACATAACCACACAATGTACTAGTTAATTTTTTTTATTAAAAAAAATAAAAAATATTTTTTTAAAAAAACATAATACTATATATTTTTGTGAAAAATATATTTTTAGTACATATTATAAATATTTTATTATTATTATTATTATTCAGTATAAATAAATACCATTTTAGTATTGTTTAAGTAAATCCTAAATATCACGCAATGTATTGTTAATACAGTATTATATTTAACAATTAATATTTTTAAAAAAATATTAAATAATAATATTATATTTTTTAAAAATAACTATTTTAAGAAATATTTTAATGTTTATTATTATTATTATTATTATTAAATWTATATATATATAGTAATTTCATGTATCAAATACATACTAAATCATTATAATGTAAAATATTTTTATTTTATATTATTAACACAAATTTGTTTAATATATTGACAATAAATTAATACTAATACTAATAATTAATATATATTTAATTAATTATTTAATAAAGTCAATAATAATAATAACATTAAAAAAACAATTAATTATTATATTAATTTCATCGATAATTTATTAATATATATATATATATAAATTAAATTGACATTACATAAGTGTTTACTTAATATTATCACAATTAGCATAAATTAATGATAATTTATTTTTAATTGCAAAATAATAATTATATAAAAATGATGTATTAATTATAGTGTAGTAAATCAATAGTTCAATTATATATATATTAATTAATACATAATACATAATAATATAAGTAATTAATACATTAGTTTATAAATGTTTTAATAACTATAGATTATTATTATTATTATTATAATAATCTATAAAATATGCAATTAGTAAAACAAAATTAATTTGAGTTTATATAATAATATTAATAGTAATAATAATTTAAATAACAATTTTTTCTAATAGCTTAATATTTTTTATTTTGAAAAATATTAATCACACAATTATCCTATTAAAAAAATATTATACATTATATAAAAATATGCAATCAATGTATATTAAAAAATATTAAACATTTATTTTTTTAAATTTTGTTGTTGTTGTTATAGTTTTTACAAAAATTTCACACGCAATGTATATATTTAAAAATCAAAGTAAAAAAAAAATCAAAATCAAAAAATTTCAGATCAATTTATAATTATTTATTGAACGAAAAAAATTTAAATATAAATTACAAAAAAAATATTGTTTGATGTCTTAACCAAAGGCATCATAAATATTGAGAGATTTTTTATTTTATTTTTTTTGTGATAATAACAGTGATCTACAAAATATAGGGCTCCGGGATATATATAAGGGTTTCTCTTACTAGTAATATATATATATATATATATAAATAAATTATATAAAGTATTTAAAAAATTACTACAAATTTGTGTGCCTATAATAAATGTCATACATATATGTTTGTAGTTAATAATACTAATTATTAAATTTGTTAAAAAAAATAATACAGTAATTAAGTATTTTTGTTGAACTATCGATATATATATATACTTAAGTGATGTCCTAATTATATATGAAATATATATATATTTAAAAAAAAATAAATATATTTTATATACACATGTAGTGTGAGAATTGTAACACATAGTTGTGTTACACAACAAAAAAAAATTAAAATTATTTTAATTTATTAACTAATTTATTATAAAAAAAAATAAATTTCAAACATTCATTATTTATTAATAATTTTAGTTTTTAAATTTTTTTTTGTGTATAAATGATTTTCAATAAAATATAGGGTATTTGAAAAATAAAAAACTAAACTAAAAAAAATTATTTTACTATAATATATATATATATGTTATAATCATCAAACATGCCATCACTAACATTACTAATTAAAAAATTATAATATTTTTAAAATTCAAAAAAAAAAATTCAATTGTATTTTATAAGCTATAATATCACTATTGCTTGTTATAAAATAGTTATATTTATTATTATTATTTTATTTATTTAATTTTTTTTTGCTAAACAATTGTTGCAAAAAATTTTCTTACAATATAATAGTATATTAGAAACTCAATGAAACAAAATATTTAATGA